CTGAGCATATTTTTGCAGTATCTAATTCTCTCTTGTTTCCCCAGGGCTGTGTGCAAGAAGTTTGGGCTACATGTGAGCCGCCTGATGTTGGCCTTCCTGGTGCTCAGCACTGGCATGTTCTGCTCATCTGCAGGTGGGTTTGCTTAGCAGTGACTCTGCCAGTTACTTTGTCCATAGAAACCAAAGACAGGTCCAGAGACAAGACAAACACCTCTCTAGCAATCATTTGTTTCCTTCTCCTGCCTGTGTTTCTCGTGGCAGGTATGACGACAGAGTAAGTGTTGATGGAAATTTGATTTCCTTGCATCACTTTCTTCTATTTTGTTTCTGTTGTTGCCTCCAGTCTCTCTGCAACACAAACAGGGTCTTGGCCTCACCTTCCTTCCTTGAATTAATCTCAATCCAAGGAAGGAGTGTCATGTTTTGGCATTGTCATTTGGCTTTGTGTATTGGGTGGTTGTACCCATTTGCCTAAGCAACCCCTGTAAGGCTTCTGAAACAGCTGCTGTAGGCACTGAGTAAAGTGCCAAGAGAGACTCTGAGCAAAGGTTTTCTGTCTTGTGTGCAGACAGAAGCTTAAAGGGAAATACCCCAACTTGTGAATGTTGAGATTTCCTATTTTATTTTGTTTATGGTCAGTGTAAAAAGGACTTTGCCTATTTCATTTTTGTTGCTGTCATAGCTCTCCTCATTCTATGCTTACTTCCCACCACTCTCAGCCAGTTAGTTCACATTTTCTGCTGCCAGTTGAGCAGGTTTGTTTCATTTTTTTTGAACCTAGCAGAACACAGAGGGTACAGCAAGTGTTAGAAGTGGTAGCTGTGGATGCTGTTGGGGGGTTACCACTGCTAAGTGCCAGTGAGGAAAGAAGACTTCAGTCTGAAAGTAGTTTTGGCAGAACAGGGAAAAGAATATTTTATTGGTGTTTTTTTTTTGAAATGAGAGTGTCCAGCATAGCATCCCAGCTCCAATGGGATGGATGAGAGATGATCAGTTTTATCTTGGCCTGGTGTGGTTCTCTCCCCATGTGACAGCTGTGCTAATCTCTCTCTTTCCTTGTGTTGCAGCCTTCCTCCCAAGCAGTTTCTGCATGTACACCACAGTAATTGCCATGACTGGCTGGTATATGGACAAGACCTCTGTAGCAGTGCTGGGGGTGGCTGCTGGAGCCCTTCTGGGCTGGCCCTTCAGTGCAGCTCTTGGGTAAGGAGCAGAGGGCTCAGGAATTTGGCACTTTGTCAGGTGTTTCATGCCTGGGTGGGGAGAATGTAGGTGCTGGAAAGCTGGAGGGAGAAACTAGCAGGGTCTGAGCTGCCAGCTGAGTCCAGGATCATTGCAACAGGCTCCCATAGTCTGATTTCTTTGCTTTTGAAGAGCTTAAGTTGGGAGGATTTCCTCACCCTGATATAGAGAGTAAAACATGAGTTGGTTGACTGGAAGATGGAGTAGAAGTGGAGCCAAATGAAGTGTTAGTTCTCTTCCAACTCCTGCCCCACTTGTTTTAAAGGGGCAGGAAAACCTGCAGTGGGGAAAGGCAGAGTCTCCAGTTGATACCCAGTTTCTTTTTCAGGCTTCCTATTGCCTTTGACCTGTTGATACTGAAGCAGAGGTGGAAAAGTTTCCTAAACTGGTGTGTGGTGTCCTTGATCCTGTTTTTGGTAAGTGCCTGTAAGAACACAAAGGGGGAATAGATTTGGCTGGCAATGGGTGGACCATTCAGAGAGTCATGGGGAGTTCTTGGACAGTGCAGCCAAAAGCTTCAGGCACTTGAAATAACAGCTGGTTTCTTCCAGGTGCCCTTGGTGGTTGTGGACAGCTATTACTATGGGAAGCTGGTGGTTGCACCTCTCAACATTGTTTTATACAACGTGTTCACCTCTCACGGACCTGACCTCTATGGTGAGTTGAAGTTAACAAGACAGGAAGGGAGTCGGTGTTGATTTTTGGAACTGCCTTGCTGCTGGACCCCCCAGGGCTCCCTTGCCAGTGTTTTTTGTGACATACTCCACAGCCAAAGCAGCCCGTGAGCTCCTCAGGGCTGCAGTTCCAGCCTCTTGCCATGGGATGTCTCTTTCGAGCCGGGAATCCGCAGCCCGGTGTCGGTTTTCTCCACGCTGTGGTTGAACTGTTTTGTTTGTTTTCAAGGTCTGTAAACTCTCGTGGGATGTCTCAGTGTCAGAGCAGAGAGCTGTTAGTAGCAGATGTGTCTGGGAGCTACATGAGGTTACCATAAAGGCATCTTACCTGCAGGGAAATCATCTGCCTATGAGGGGTTCCCTTCCTGGCCATCTAGGGTCCTGTGTGACCCAAATGTCAGCTCTGAACCTTGGTAACAATTCTGTGATGCCCTTTTGGGAGATGCCACTGAGCCAACTTGTTCATGTCATGTCCTTCTAGAGCTGAAGAGCAGAGAAGTTTATTTCTAGCAGGTCTTCAGAGCAGCTGGTGGAGATTTCAGGGAGCCTGGGGTGCAGGGTCCCTGTGTCACCTCTGGCATCTGTTCACACCCTGCTGGAATGTCCTAGGAGGGGTGCAGCAGTGGGTGGCACCAAGGCTTTCCCTGGCAGTGCCCTGCAGGCCAGATCTGTGGATTCACTTGCAGGGCTGTTTTGGGTGGTGCTGAGTGGTGATTTGTTCCTTGTGCTGTGGCACAGCAGGGTAACTGCTGCTTTGCCATCTCTCCTCATCTCTGCAGGAGGGCTCTGAGGTCTGGTGCTGTGAATTCTCTGTGAGTAAACTCCAGGCTCTGTGTCTGATAGGTTTTTGGCATGGGCTCGTGCCTGACCTTTTCCATGCTGGTTCATGAGCTGTTTCCAGAAGCCTCCAGGGACCAATCTCTCCTGAAGTGTTTTATTCATAAGTGACATTCATACAACATCCTCAGGCTAGTAAAAGAGCCTGCCTGAAATTGCTTCATAATGCAGTGTGGCCAGGACAAGGTTGTTATGTTTAGAGAGCTTCAAAACACTGGGGAAAAATAACACTCCCTGGGGAGAGGAAAGGCTGGATCCCTTCAGGCTTTGGAGCTGGGATTTCCCACCTTTCACATGATGGGAACAGGAATTCCTGGAGTCTGTAGAGTCATCAGCCCATATCATCTTATTAAGCACCACAATATTTTTTTTCTTATCCTCAGGGCTGATTCTGAAGCTTTGAGGTGTTTTTGTGAACATGTGCTCTAAGAATGGACTATTTGTGACAAGAATTTTGTCTTGCTTCCTGTGCTCAGAGCCTTGGCTGTGAGTTGTGGTGCAGTGGTGCTTTGGGAGGCTTTGTTCAGCTTGGGAGGAATGTGCTGGAGCTGTTAATATGACACCTTGCTCTGCTGAGTCCTGGCTCTTAAACAGAGTGAGAATAAATGCAGAAAGCAGCCTGTGTATTATTACACCAGCACTGAATCAGACTTGCTTAGAACTGAGGGCTGTGACTCATGATCTAATTATTGAGGCTTAGTTACTGCTTAGCAGTTGAGCTCCAGTTCCTGTCCTCATGTGACAAACACAGGGTGGGGCACCTCAGATCCAGCCTATTTTACAACTCCTCTGCTTTGTCCTAAAACACCCTCCCCATTACTGTGGTCAAGCTGCAGCCTGGGAGCTTGTTAAGCTCTGTTAACTTGTGTGTGAGTTTAATTTCCAGAATTGCCCCCAGAGCACAAGATTCAAAGCAGCCTCTGGCTCAGTGTCTGACAGGGCTTCCAGTGGGTTGTCCCCATGGAACCACAGTGCCATGGACTGCCTGGGCCACAGTGTTCCTCCCCACTGCTTTCAGCAGTCTCTCTCCTACCACAGAAGGAGGAGGGGATGTTGTCACTCTTGCAGTGCTCCCCAAAATCCAAATCTGTACTTGCTGTTTGCTCTCAGTGCTAATAGCTAAAGGATTTCTAGGTGAACCTCAAATGCTCGGACTTGGTTTTAGTAACTCCAGTGACACATTTCTGACATTTCTAGTGTGACTTGTAGTGATATTTAGCTGTAGGAGCTATAGAGATTTCAGGTTTTCCTTGGTGCCTTTCAGTTGTCTGATTAATTTCAGCATGGACCCTATTTAAGTGGCTCTGATTGCAGGAAATGGCTGCGGCGTGTGACACATGTCACAACAGTGCAGTGATTAAAGCCCCCGCCTGCCACTGACTGACTGAGCTAATCACACTCAGAGAGTGGCAAGTGTGTGGAGAGGAACTGGCATGCCTTTTTGTTCAGGATTTTAAGCATCTTGAATTAAGAGTCCAAATAAATGACAGTTGGATTGGAGTTTATTTCAGTTTACAGCCTTGGAAGCTCGCAGCCAGTACTCAAGTGTGTCATGTGAGGAGGGCAGGGGTGGCTTGCTGGTGTTTGAAGCTGCACTGTAAGAACAAATTGAAGCAGAGACTTTTTAAATACTCTTGACTCTTAGGGGGTACCAAAACTAACATCTGGATGGGCTTTGTTGGCAGTCTTTGTTGGGGTGAACTGTGGATGTGAACTCTTGTTGCTTTTTAGTACATCTTCTGTTTGTGCCAACATGGAGCACACAACATCACTCCAGAACTACAATCATCTCTTATTATCAGTGTGTGGTTTTGTGTTATTCCTCTGTTACTTCTCTGCAATTAAAATAATGAATTTGGAGTAAAATGTTCTAGTTCTAAAGGTTTCTACCTCTACTTCCTTGCCATTTTGGCTTTCTTAATGCAAGGGTGAGTTCTGTGTTGTAGAACTCTGCTGGGCAAGGCTGACACTTGGAGTGGCCTGTGATCCATGAGCAACAGATGTGGCATTGACTGTGAACTGGTGAAAAAGAAAGAGAAAAGCAATTTCCAAAAAGGAAGACAACAGAGTCTCTTGGGCAGATGTGACTGTGAGATACTCCAGTGCCTTTTTATGGCTGTGTAGTAGTTCTCATGCCACAGTTCTGTGGCAGTTTTATGGGTGAGGGGCAGAGCCATGAGATTGCTGTGAGATGGCTCAGGCTCATTCCATGGGGCCACATTCTCTGTCCAGCTGCAAGATCTTCTGTCCACACTTTTTCCATTCTTTGGCTCCAGTGTGCTTGCAGTGGGGAGAACTGATGTCTGCTGTTGGTTACCTTGTTCTGTGTCAGGCAGAGAAGGAATGAAGCTGCTGTTAGATCTAGATCTTAAAAATGCTTGTATTGAAAAACTTTATTTCTTTTTTTCATCCTTTAGGTACAGAACCCTGGTCCTTCTATTTCATCAATGGCTTTCTGAATTTCAATGTGGCATTTATTCTGGCACTGCTCGTGTTGCCACTGACTTGTCTCATGGAGTGTTTGCTTCAGAAGTTTCATGGTGAGTGCAAGATAGCTGTCAGAGCCAAGCACAGGCAGCCCAGCTCTCAGCATTGTTACTAGAAGGAGAGTTTGCTGGCCAAAGAGCAGCTTTCCTTTATTGGAAGTGAAACTAGGTTCAGGGAAAGTCTTTGGAGTCATAGCAAAGTTCCTAGAGCTGATTATTCAGTTCAGTATTGACCCCACAATGGAGTTGCTGTGTAGAGAGAGCACACAGTGAGATCCCTCTGCTCACATGCTGTCTGTGAAAGGGCAGAAAGATGCATTTCTCTTCAAGGGTAGTTCCTGTGCTCTGTCTCCACCTCAAGAAGAGCAATGTGGTACCAGGGCTGAACTCTCCCCACCCAGAGTAAGTTTAACAAGGTGTATGGCACTTCACCTTCAGCCAGACATGTAAATGCATTAGAAATACCCTGGGTCAGAAATCTTTTGGAGGAAAAAAACTGTGTGCCCATTGTTGTTTCCATCTTATCTGCAGCTGGAAATGGGAACCTGGAGAGTTACTTGGAGAACATTTTGCTAGTTCTTCATTGTTACCTTTTAATACCACTGCCAGAATGTTTTCTGCAGCAGCTTGAGGGAACAGAGTTATTTCCTTTTTGATTATTGGGACTGAGCTTACAGACAGACATCCTCTGGTGTCTGCTGGTGCCACCACCAGTGCTGGGATTGAACCTGAGCTCCTCTGTGCACTGTGGAGGACACTCTTTGACTTGCAGGACTGAGCTTGCTGCCCTGTGCTTTGGGAAGTGTCCCTGTAGGGTGGATACACTGAGCAGAAAAAGGGGGAACCAGAATATTCCTTATTCATGTTGGGCTTTCTCTAAAATTACATCAGTTTAAGCACATGACATTGGGCAAGTGACTCCAGAGAGGAAAAAAAGTGTTGAGGAAGTGTGAATTCTTCTCTGCCATTTTCCCAAGGAAGATTCATAAAGCAGCAGCTTCCAGATCCATCACTCCAATTAGTGCTGGGCTTTCTGATTTAGTTTTTAACTGAATACATGAAACAATAACATGATAATCCTTGCTGAAAATGTGCTATTTGCTTATATCTGTTCCTTGGCTAGGGCTGACATACTCTTAGAAACCAGTAAAAGCTCAGTAGGAGATCCTGTAAGTGCAAGATTTCCTGCTGTTCACTTGGTGTTCTTGTACTTAACAGCAGGAGCAATTCTGCCAAGTGCTTTGTTCTTATTGTCTGTGAAATGCTGTTAGCTTAATTGCTTAACTCTGCTGTGGGGAGTAGCAAAAGGGGCAGAAAAGGGACTGAAAATCGTCAGGCACTGTAGAACCCTCCTCAGTGTGACTAAAATTCAGGGTAATTGTTGTTATTTTTGAATCACTTATTTCCTCCATTAAGCTGGAGGAGCCTGAGAGACCTTTCATGCTGTTATTTTTGTAATGAAACAATGAAGGTTGTGGAAACTTCAGTTGCTAAACAACCCTTTGTAAGTGGAAGGGTAGGTCCAGAGGAGATCCTTTCTGAGCCTTGTATAGTATTAGACACAGAAGGAGATCTAGGACTTTTGACTACATTTTTAGGCATGTTCTTGATGAGTTTTGTCTCTTGCTTAGACTTGGTAGTGCAGTCCCTTGTTTTCTGCTTTTGGTCTTCTAAAGTCTGTTGAAATTTAGTAGTACAGGAATCTACAAAAATTCTTTGATCAAATTCCACCCTGTTTGGGTATGTCATCTGGATTTTGGCAGCACAGCTGCTCAGAACCTGGGGTGTGTCTGAAAAGGAATGGTTGGATCTGAGGAAGGTGCTTTTGAATGTGAGATGTGACTGTACAAGAGAGGGAAGAGGATAAACCTCTCATTCTTAAATCACTACTTGGGGTGTCTCTTTCAGTTCAGAATCTGGGCCGGCCCTACTGGCTGACACTCTCTCCTATGTACATCTGGATCATGATTTTCTTCAGTCAGCCCCACAAAGAAGAGAGATTTCTCTTCCCCATCTATCCCCTCATATGTCTCTGTGGTGCTGTGGCTCTGTCTGCTCTTCAGGTAAGTTTTAGTGAAATGTGTATTTTAAGCTCATACCTTCAGGAAGCGTAACTTCTACCTGAGTTCTTCAACACTGCTTCCCAGAGTTTGGGAACATTGAAGAACATCTGTGTCTGTGACACAATCCACAATGATTACACAGTTCAGGACTGCCCTCTACATAACTTGTGATCCTCTTCTTTAATGAGTTATCTGCCACAGTTTTAATTTGCAAACCATGTTTCATGGGTAGGTGTTTACAAAGTCCAACCATAATCTTTCTGTACAGGTTGAGAGTATGTAGAAAACTATTATCCCTCTGTAAGATGTGATAGAAAGGCAAAAATATTTGGGATTTCCCTCCTGAGTGTCATACAGAGTGAGCTCATCTAATAATTTTGGATTTCAGTGCAGACTGCTTAACAGCTCAGCAAAAAAAAGATCACATTTCATGGCTTTATAAGATGATCACATTAGGAGCTTGTCTGGGATTATGTGAAGTGATAAATGGTTGAGAATATTTCCTTGCCACTAATGATTTCATGATGACTTTGAGGTTTTTCTCCCATGCCAAGCTGGAATTTCTAGTGAGGAGCAGTTGTGATGTTGTAGTACCAATACAAGAGAACATCCAAGAGATGTCATGGGGATTAGTAACTTGTTTATAGCATTGTGCCTCCTTTGTCTGCTGCTAAGCAAGCTGTAAGGGCAGGAATGGGTGTGTAGGAAATGCATTTTGTTGTGTCCTAGTAGGAATCCCTCACTGATTTGAAAAAGGAAAAGAGATCTTGTTTGGGCAGCAGGAAATTACGCCGGACCTCTGCAAGAGCCAAAATTTGGATGTTTGGTAAACATCACTTGAAACACTTCACAGACTAAAGCACTAATACAGATTGATATAAATCTTCCCAAAGCTCAGAATTATTCATTGTCCCTCTGTGGAGAGCAGAGGAATGCAGCCACTAGTCCCTGTTAGAGCCTGATCCAGCTGCTCGGCCTCATTCTGCTGTTGCACTTCTGGCTGGCTGTTCCTGCCCTGGGCCCCCCACCAGCACTGCCTGCACCTCTCAAATCACTCTCCCCCTTCCCCTGGTCTGTTGCTGTTCTGACTGTTGGTCTCCCATCCCTGCTGGTGCTTTGCAGTGCTGAGCTGCAGCACCTCAGAGGAGTTTCAGCCCTTGCATCAAGCTCTGTCATGTCAGCAGTTTGATGGCTCTGACTGACAATTGCTATGTGCTGGCAGAACATTCATCACAGGGCAATGGTTTAGGACCTTTGCCAAATATGGCTTTAGGGAAATCCAGTGTGTATTTCTGCCCTGCCTGTTTTAACACTGTTTGATGACATTTTGTTCAGTATTCAGTATCCAGCTGAGAATTTAGAGCTGATTGTTTACTAGTAGTACAAGCTTGTCAGAATCTCCTCCATATCATGGGGATCTGGCTGTTATGAGAAAAATGCAAACAAGACAAAACCAGAAACCAGATTAGGATAGGAAGTGAATAATCACTCCTGCAGAAAAACAGAGCAGGAAGGAGGGACCAAGCCAAGTACTGGATGTAATTCCTCCTGGGTATTCTCAGACAGGCTTTTAAATTAGAAAAGCCTAAAGGGCTTTTCTTTTAACAGTTTCAGAGTGGTTTGTGTTTAAAGGTGGATGCAGAATGTGCTGTCATCTTTTATCCACTTCAGAGCTGTAGTTTGTGCAGACAGGATAAACAATCATGGGTCAGGGACTTGGAGAGGAAGTCAGTCCAACACTGAAAATCAGGCCTGTCTTGGTAGGGAAGTTCTACCTAAGTATCTGAAAAGAACACTTGCTGCTGGTTCACCTGGAACTGAAGCTGAAGCCCTGGTGGAGAGCACTTCACAGCTTGACTGGAGGCCTTCCTGGGGAAAAGAGCTGAAAAAGTCATTAAACACCCTCGACTCTCAGTTAAGAAACGTGACTGAACCACCTGAGCTGCTGTGCATTTGTTATGGCTTTGAATGAACCAATAAAGACCCAAGATCTGGTGGTAGATGCAGGCACTGCTTTAAGATCCTTACAAAAACCAAAATTTTGCTCAATGTATCAAAAACCTTGAGTCATTTTGTCTTTTTTTTTAATCTTTCTCCAGAAATGTTACCACTTCATATTCCAGCGCTACCGCCTGGAGCACTACACGGTCTCCTCCAACTGGCTGGCTCTGGGCACTGTCCTGCTCTTTGGCCTCCTGTCATTGTCACGTTCTGTTGCCTTGTTCAGAGGTTGGTATTTTTTCTGTGCTTCCCTAGGGATCAGTCTTGGCAAGTCTTAAAGCCTGCCAGCGTTGTGTTGTTTTGACTAGAGCAGCACAGCAGAAATAAGGAAGCTCAGAAAGAAGTTCTAATTGTCCCCCTGGATCACAGAATCATTGTACACCTATCTGTATGCATAGCCACATTCATAAATGAATGTATAAATGTTGTGTGGATTTGTGGATATAGGATTATATCCCTAGAATGACATCAGTTAAAAATCTACTGCCCTTCCCCTTCACTCAGTACAATGATCCTGATACAAAACCTGTACCCAGATTAGTATTAAAGCAGATGCTTTTAACTTCCAAGCATATGATCCCACTTGAAAAAGCATTTTCCCATGTAAAATTTGTAATTGGGTGCATGTGTCCTTAATGGAGATGGATTGGATATGATCCTTAAGTACTTTCTTGAATCAGAGCCATGCAGTGAGCATTCCCACCTCATCAATATCTTTTTTGCTTGGTGGTAGCCACTGACATTCAGGGTAGGAGAATGTGAATAAAGGTGCTAGGGGACAAGCACTTGTAAAAGGAAGGGGAGATTTGGAATCCAGCCCCTTTTTAGCATAGATAATTAATTTATTCACAGGGTTACCAGTTTAAAAGTTACCTCTGAACATTTTTTGGTAGTCCTTCAGAAGCAGTCACTTAAGCATCACTTGTTTCTTTAGCCTTACTTATAAGTTTCTGCCTTCCCTAGGCTACCATGCACCCCTGGACCTGTACCCAGAATTTCACAGGATTGCTACTGACCCAAGCATTCACACAGTGCCAGAGGGGAGGCCTGTCAATGTCTGTGTGGGAAAGGAGTGGCACAGATTTCCAAGCAGCTTTCTTCTGCCAGATAAGTAAGTTGTTTGCTGTAAAATGGTACAGTTTGGTGAGTTTCATAGGGAGGGGCACTTCTCCTAAGGAAGTATTTATGGGAGTAACCCTCAAGACCTTGTGTCTCTGTTGACACCAGCGTCTCCAAAACCAAGGATTCCAAAGTTTCTCATCAGAGAATTACATTGGCCACAAGCTCCTGAAAACTTGTAGTGTTTGCTCCTGTAGCAGGGCTGTACCCTCAGGAATTAAATGTCTTTGGTTGTGTGTGGAGAAAACCAACAGCATAATGTTACCAGCTTCTGCTGGGCTTTCTGATGCTGTTTTTTCTACAGTTGGCAGCTCCAGTTCATCCTGTCAGAATTCAGGGGCCAGTTACCTAAACCATTTGCCAAGGGACCAATGGCCACACGGATCATTCCCACTGACATGAACGACCAGAACAAGGAAGAGCCATCTAGATATGTAAGAATTATGTTCCTCTTTTCCTTACTCTATAATTTTTATTAATATTGGGTCTTCTCGTTTTGTTTCCCGGGCACCATACAAGTTACAGAACAAAACTGGGCTCTCTGCAGCACTTGGAGTTGCCCCATTTATGCAAGTGGTTTCTGTTTACATTTCATCTTCCTACTTTGCATTTAAAGGCATACAAAGGAGAAGCAGAAGAAGTAATAATTCCTAGTTATTGCAATTTTGGGTTTAGCAGAACGTGCTACTGTGGTCACAGGGAAATGAATTGGATGAGTGGTTTGAAATCCCCCCCACAGAAAATGTTTGTCACTAGCCAGGGATTGGAAGTTTCCTTTGTACTTTCTTTTTAAATATAAATGTATTCATCATATTTGCAACTGAGAAGGAGGAACTTAATGTGGAGCATCACTGAAACAATTGCAACAGCCATTTCAATGGAAATCTGTTAATTTAATGCACACTGGTATTATTAATTTGTTATTTTCCTGGTTGTGTTGTTACCAAACACTGCACACACATGAATATTTAAAAATTGTCAACTAGCCTCTTCAGAACTGCTCAGCAAGGTAACTCTTAGAAGTGCACTAGATATCCTTTGCCAGGCACCAGGTATTTAGTCATCCTTTTGGTTTTTATCCTGGCTGAAGATGTTAAACATCAGCTTCTTTAAGTGGCTCATGACTTTGGCCTGTTAGATGTTGTACAAGTTCTTGTGACCTGCTCACAGAAAGGGATGGGAGGCAGTGCTAGGACACAGGAGCAAGCTCTGGGGGTAAGAGCAGGGCTCAGCTTCTGGGTTTAAAGCTCTCTGCTTCTGAGCCTGATGATGTAGTTACTGGAAATGGAAAGGAGGCGTGTTCCCACCTGAGAGAAGCTGTCTGCTGCAGTGCATTTAATTTACCAAATCTTTAGCTCTGGCATATTTTTAGCTCAGACAGCTGGCTGCTGCACAGCCTGTGACTAATGGAGCAAAACACACTTTTGTTTCATGCTTGTTTCTTAATGTCACCCTACAATTTAGTTATTTTTTTTCATGCAAGCAAAAAAAGGACCTTGGACATAAGAAATTAGCTACTAAATGTGAACTTTAAATGTGTTTTTTTTTTAACTTTTAATTCTGACCTGCTAGTAATACTGAGAGAACAAGATCTTTTCTCAGGTGTAGGGGGTTTGAGTGCAAGCAGACACAGATGTAAAGGGAAAAAAAAAAGGTTAGCAAGCACTGTAAAGGACCAACTAAAAAGCAGCAGGTAAATCTGAATAGTGTGAGTCTGGTCATTTAAAGAGGAGAAAACAAATGGTTCAAAATTATCTGAGCCATGGACAGCTTAAAATCAATCAGTTGCTGCAGAAATGGGACTGATCTCTCTGTTTCAGGTGTGAGTATCCATTACTGCTCTCCTTGAAAATTGAAGGGTAAACCTGGGTGTCTCTGTTGCTATGAGACACTGAGGAAAAGAATGATTTGATCTTGTTTTGCAATTCTTCCTTCCTTAATCATGTTGAACAGCATTTCACTTGTCCTGCTGGGGGGATGCATTTGTCTCTGAAAGTGCTAAGAAAGAGGTAAAGGAGTTCTGTTTCTTACAAAGATATATCCAAGCAGGAGTGGTGGATTAGGCCAAAGAGCTGAAACTGTTAAAAACTCCTGATTTTAGAGGAAGTTCTTTTTAACCACTATATTTTTACTTCTTTTCCAATTCCTTTTACCTCTGTTTTGAACTCTAGGAACCACCTGAAGCTTGGTCTCATTTTTGAAATATGCATTTGAGAGATCAGTAGAAGATCTCTGATTTTGCTCAAAACAGTTGAACTTTGTGGTAAATAAGCTCCTGTTGTGCTGTGTGGTCAGGTAACACCCATGCAGACAGCAGTGAGAGGTGTGGCTGCAGCAGTGCAGCAGCAGGCTGTGCTCTTAGCTCTGTGCACTGCACTGTGCCCACTCCCCTTGCTCAGGATGTGATCAAATGTAGTTCTCCACCATTTAGCATTAGCAGGTGGATCAAACAGAGAAAGAGTGGGAGGAGGAAAAGGAAAGGAGAACAGAAGGGGATAGGATGTAATTTAGAAATTCCTTGCAGCTCCATTCACTAAGGCTGGGTTCTGTCTACCAAGAAACATTTCAAGGTTTGTACACTGCTGAAGTCTTGTGTAAATCCCCAAATAAATGCATCAGGTGCTTTGTTGGCCCTCTGACCTCAATGAAAAGCATCCTTAGCTTCAGTGTAGCTTCTAAATATGCACTCTGCTCTACGTGGTGTGGTAGAAGGGGAATTTCTTTCCCCTGGCAGATAATTCATATGCATTTTAAGTGCAGGCCTGTTTAGGGGAGCATTTAGAATGAGAAAAGTGAGATCAGCCTTAGTGCTGGAGGCAGTATCTTGTCTTTCTCTGCTTCCACCTCACTTACAGGAAGACTTGGTTAGTGGTTTGGGAATCTTTTTGCTAATGAGCCAGAACCTCTCTTAGGGCCTGGAATGTTCTTCTCATGCAGTGCAAGAAGTGGATTCAACATTCTCCTCTCTCAGTTGAGTTTCCCGTGGTGTAATTTCATTTACCACTCAGTTGTGATGCCATGGAGCCATCTGGTATCCACCTAATTAAATTGTTTTCAGCCTAAATTGTTACAATAAACCCCAAAGGTGCTTCAGAGAAGTGAATTCAAGCATGTTCAAGGAAGTTTGCAGTAAAACTTTGGGAGAGAGCAGACTGAAATATGGGATCCCTCAAGAAAGAGGAAGGATCTGGGCAGTACACTGAGCAGAAATAATTAGGTGAATACATGTGGGTTGGATACCAGACAGGCACAAGTCCTTCAGGGAAGGATCCAGGGGTGCAACAAATCACTAGATGAATACAACTTAGTAATCCCATGCTTCTGTGTAATCAGATGAGCCACATAAAGGGTTCCATGCACAGGAGCTGCTTGTGCAACTGGATTTTTTGTTGCTCTGCATTAGAAAGTCCTTCACTGAAGTGCTACATCCTGATTTGGGCACTGCATTCAGGGTAGAGATGGGTAATTGAATACCCACAAGAATGATCATGGGGTAGAAACCATGACTATAGAGTAAATACATTTGTAGAGGAAACAAGAGCCATTTTCAGATAACAACTCTAGCATGTAAACTAAAGAAGATGATGTTTTCCTTGTTCATGATCTAAAACCTAGGAACTGGCATGAACCTAGAAAAAAATTCAGTGTAGACTTCATTATCCTTACTGCTACAAAGGTTTCATGATGTCTTTTGCCTGGGGAGCTTGTGGAGTCAGCATTGGAGGAAGTCTTTAATAGCTAGTTAGACAATCACCAAGGAAAACATCAACAGAATTGGTCCTGCTGCCTCAGATTCCCCTCTGTGACTTGACAGCTCCTCAGTAAGAGCTGGCAGTGGTACTTTCTCAGAGAGGGACTCTAGGCTGCTTCTGTGATCAGAGCAGTAGTGGTAGCTTGTATTCCCCCATACAGGTTTTACCTGAAAACATTAAAAATACTTCACCATGTACCCTGCATGAAGTATTCCACCTCTTCCTGGAAATTTAACCTCCTTCTCATGGGTAAATAACAGCCTGTATAAATGAATGCATACAACTAGGAGCCTACAGCATATAAACCACCAGAATGTCTGTCTTTCTCCAGATTGACATTTCCAAATGCCACTATCTGGTGGACTTGGACACAGGAGCTGAAACCCCGAGGGAGCCAAGGTATTCTGCTAACAAAGAAGAGTGGATAACCATTGCCTACAAGCCATTCCTAGATGCTTCCAGGTATGCTTTATACATTTGAGAGGAAGGGAGAAAGGCTGACATGTCTGTGGACTAATTCTGCTCAATTATTGACTCTAAAGTAGCTGCATACACTGAAGAAAGATGCATTGGCAAATGCCAGAGTGAAACCCAGCCTCCAATCAGGGCAGCTTGCTGGGTCCAGTAGAACCTTTGTCTTGTACTTGCAGTGTTTATGACCTAGGTTGGTTTAGAGGGTGAAGCTATCTCAGAAGAGTGTGAAGAAGGATTTTTTTTAAAAAGAATTCTCCCTGTTCACTTCTGGCTGAAGTAACAATTTTAGTTTTGCTTTCTAAAGAAATTAAGTGTATGTCATCTCTCAAATGACTTTTGAACCTTCTCTTTTTCAGCCAAATTCAAGACAGGTTTAAGTCACTCTCAAAGGGCATGAGCTCCTCCAAATTTTGTGAAAACTGTCAGACAGAGGAGGTAATCTTGCTGAGTGAAAAGTCAGCAGGAGCACACCTTTATTACACATCTGAGAATCCATGGGAGAGACCTCTGTTAAAATCCATTCTTCAGTAGTTTTGCTGCTCACTGAACAACTTGCTTGTGTGCCTGAACAGGAATTTCTGTGAGAAGCAGAGATTGACATTGCTCTCCTCCAGGCTTATGGGGTGGATTCAGGGTTGTTGAACTAGGGATGCTGTTAATACATTCCTGCAGATACAGAAACCCTCAGCAATAAGGGGATGGTTGTTTAGTCATTTCAAGCTCTGGTCATGAAACTGTTGTGACAGGCCAGAGAGGACAACTGGAAAAATCTCTGTAAAAAACCAACACAGAGTTCAGTGCCCTCCTATTTTCTATGTGAGACTTCATTATTTCCTAGTAATAGGACCCTCCAGGGAGTGGGGCTGGTAAAAGCAGTTGAGCAGTGAGAAGGAGTGATAATGTTAGAACAGCTCCCAGGAGTGCTCTGGTGTTCCCGGACTGCTGACACAAACAAGTTTTCTTGGCAAGGTCTTTGGTGAACTGTGTTTTCCAAGAGACCTGCTGTTACATTCAGGCAGGAGTTGAGGAAGGGAAAATGAGATGGTTAATGAGTCTTGTGATGAGGCAATGGAAGATGAAGAGTTTTGCAAAGGATTCGTTGTGCAGAGTGTATACCCCTGAATGTGCATTTCTGCTTCAGAGACACATTCATGTGTTTTTAAAGGTGGTTCATCTTGCTATCCTGGGCTGAGCAGCCCAGCTTTGATTGTTTGGACCTTATCTAAAGTCCTTTGAAGTCGGAGGCACTGAGTCAGGTCCAAATGAGCCTTTAAGACACCTTGGGCTAACTGTGGGGTTGTAATTTGCTAGGGGTGCTTTCAGAGGCAGCAGCTCTCTGCCACAGGGATGCTAACCTCCCTTGTGAAAGTGAATTATTCTGATGTGGCTGTACACCTTGTAGCCTTCTCCAGATTGTCCTGATTTCTCCATGGTTTCTTTCCACTTTCAATCATTTTTCCTGCACTTAGCTGTTGCTTGGTAGAGAAGGAGTTGGTCTGTCTCGTGAGGCTTTTTTTGGATTATTGCACTTTCAGCCCACACCCCTAACCTCTGAGCTTTTCAGTAAAGTCCATGAGAGAGACATCCTACTGCTTTCTCTGCTGAGCCCATTTTGTATCCCCTTAGACACTGTGCCCTGCTGAATCCAAACCAACATCTGTCACACTGTGCTATTGCTTGGAATCTGCTGCTTCTGTGGTAAGAGCTGAGTCTGCAGTTACAGGCATTACCACAGGATGGACAGAAGTGTTTCAGATCCTCCACTTTCATCCAGGCTTTTCTGTTCATTCCTGACTTGGCTGGGGATTTCTCCTGGGAGGTGTATGTCCATCTGACACATCTCAGCCCTGACCCTACTGCAGTGTGCAGTGCTGACTGCCAGCAGTGCAGGGAGTGAAGCTGGAGCAGAACACCCAGCTCAGTACTTAGCTGAGTTGTTACTCTCTTCCCTGCTTTAGTGCTGTGTTCATATGAGTCACTCTATGACATCTTTCTGTCTTCTTTTTTTTTTCCCCTCCTTCTTATTAGGGGACATTGATAGGATTTAAGAAATTTTCCTATTTACAGCCAAACCTCTGTGTCCTGCCATAATACCTGTCTGGCTTCTTAGGAATTTGGCTGAATATTTAGGTGGACATGGTGACAGGGTTCCATGTTTCTGGGGGAAATGCTGTCAAAGTATTTCCTGCCAGACTGAGGCTGGTATCTTATTCCCAAGGCTGGCAGTGAAAACCTGTGCAATCATTTTTATTTGAAATATGAGACTGTGTTTTATTTAGATCATCTAAACTGCTACTAGATTCCCAAGCTGTATGTTTCATGCTGGCTAAGTATCTCTGCAAGCCTGCAGCCAAACTCTGGAAGCCCAGTCAGTACCAGAGTGTTGATTTCTGTGTGTGGTCCTTGGTGTCTTGGCTGGTGGCTGTTACCCCTGGAAGTAAAGACTTGGCTCCTTACAGCAAAGGTAGCAGCAGCTTGTTGTGTGAAACTGGGAGTCACAGGGAGATCCTGAAACCTCAGAGCATGCTAACCCTGGTCATGAGGAGCTGTAGAAGCTGGATAGTGGGGTTGAGGAAAAGGAAGCAACTCCCTGGCTAAGCCATCATCAAGACCTTAGGACAGATGACATAAAAGTGGTGGGGAGGAAGATCTTTCTGTCTGATCCTTAAAAAAAGATGCTGTTGCACTAATGGGAGGCTGGAGTAGAAGGGAATTTGCAGAGCATGTCCCAGGCAGTCAGATCCTTATCCCTGCTGGTGTTGCCTGTCGGCCTCCTCCACTCCTGCTCCTGTGCTGGGGAGATTCTCAGTGCTGCTGCTTCTCAAGGCTGCAGAGCTGGAGCAGAGGGGAGGGGTGGTGCCTGTGCCAGTGGAGGAGGCCACGTTGCCATAGCAGCAGGTCTGATTTGCATCCCTGCTGTCACTGCCTCCAGAGCTCCCCAGTTTAGAGCCCTGGGCTCTGCCTTTTCAGGGGACCTTCAGCAGTCAGCAGGTGGGGCAGCTGGAGTGCACAGTGCTGCTGAAGGACTAGAAGGGCTTGTGCTTACCTGGGGGGTGTCACTGAGGCTGAGGCATGAGAGAACCAGCAGTGTGTCCCCATCTTGTCACCAGGCTGATGCTCTGGTCCCCCTGAAGAACAGTAAGCCAGGAGCCACAGCCTGCCTAACAGGGCAAATGTGTAGCAGTGGGCACAGCTTCCCAAGGCAACTCATGGCATAGTGGAAAGCAGAAAGGACTAATCATGCAAAATCTCCCCCACCCTGCTTTTAGCCAGCATCATTTAAAGGTATCACATTTAAAATGGGATGCTGCAGACAAGGTCAAAGCCCCTTTTACCAGCCCATCCACAACACCATGAGCAAGAGAAACCTCAGAAAGGCTCCTTTTGGATTGCCCACTTCAGAATTTGCCTTAGAATTTTAATTTCTTTCTGTGCTTTGGCCCTTGGAGAAAAGGTGGGATGGAGGAAAAGGGGCTCAGCTGGAACATGATGCTCCCATGACTCTATCAAGGTCTCTTAAACCCTCCACGTGCTGCAGTTTCCCATTTGGACCCAAAGTTTAGCTCCCCACTTATCTCCAGGAGTTTGACAAGGAACAAAAGGGAGAGGAGCTTCAAGCTCCTGACAGTGGTGGCAGTTCAGTACTGTTGCATTGTTTTGCATCCAAGCACTGGGATTTTGCTGCAACTTCCATATAAAGGTTTCACATGGCAAATGTTCATCATCAGTCTGTTGAGCTGAGTGCGTCACAGCATTTCTAAAATAAGACAGTGTTGTTTGCTTGGGGTTTTTTTTTTCCCCTGAATATGATTGAGTTCTAACTGGTGTGATCTAAGGGGGCTCAAGCAGCTCTCAAAAGGGGAAACGACACAAGTTTTGCAGCAGATTGACAGCTGGCAGTGAGTTAGCTGCTGGCAATTGGAGCTCTCTCAAGCAAACTGAACTAGATGTGAGGGTCAGTCTTACCCTGCAGAGCCAGGCATTAGCTGTTGTCCTTTTGTTGAGACTGGAAAACCTTGTTTGCACAGCAAGTACTACTGGTGTGTCTTTCTGTTAGTGTCAGCTCTTGCTTGGCTTGCTTCTGTCCTCATCCCAGTCTGTAGGGCACCAGGCCTGCTAGAATGGGCATTGCAGATCCTCAGCGGGAGAACACTGAGAATTGCCTCTCCATCCAGCTGAAGAGGACATCAGTGAGGCCCTGAAACTGTTCCAGGGATGCAACAGGTACTTCTCTAGTCCAGCAAGTTGTTGGCAGGACTGATACAGAGAAGGTATGGGAATTCCTGCAAAAACACATCTGTGCTTTTGCTTTGTTGGAATTGGAGATAGCAAATCTAGGCAGTGCTGTCTCTTTTAGAGTTGAGAAATTGATAATTCTATCATATTTCACATGAATTTCATATGAGATCATAGAATTGGTCATTCTGTGACAGTTCAGCTGCAGAAAAGCAGCAGTTACACCATTAAAACAGCAAGTTGCTAGAAACTGGTAAGCTGAAAGGATCCCTGAGCTAGTAGATCTGTGGCTAGAGTTCTTGCCAGTGTCAGACAGACAGGTCTGTGGGTAGAGCCAGTGAAGGTGCATCAGGGGCTCCTAAAATGATCCAGGCTGCACATGTTTCTGGGCATGTACCTTCCCCTCCTCCCCCACTCAGCGGAGTGACGCATCTCTCACATCCAGCACCTGCTGCCACACAATGAGCTGGAAACGTCCCCTGCTACCTATGAAGTAAGTGTTAAAAACACTATGAAAATGCAGCTTCTTTTTTTATATTAAAAGAGAGGAGCAGAAAAAGTGTCACTTTGAGCTGTGAAGGAAGCTGTCAGTGTATGTTTCAGGTCTGCGGCTCAGTGGCTGCAGACTAAGGAGCATTTGGGGGGGAAAAAAAACCCCTCTATCAAACACCTCCCCACCCAAAACCCAACTCCAGCTCTTGTTCTTTGAAAATAAATGACCCCAGCAGTTGAATTCACT